CCAAGAAAGAAACACTGGAACTTTAAAACCTCACCACACACCACCAAGGAGATCCAAGGCACTGAAGGCACCCACAGAAAGACCTAGGCCAGGGTGGGCCAGCCAGCCCAATCCCCCCCCCAGAAGAAGCAGGCCAAATGGAGAGAAAACACAAAGATGAAACCCACCAAAAAGCAACAAGGCAAGGTTTAGCAAATCAAACACAGTGAAATGAAGAACAATTTTAAAAGCACAGTTAACAATTCTACAAAGGAAATCTAGAAGAGGAAACCCCCAATTAAGAAACCCCCAATTAAAAGAGGAGACCCCCAGTTAAAAGAGGAGACCCCCAATTAAAAGAGGAGACGTTATTTTCGGCTTTTTTTTCGGCTCGGGATCCCGAAATGCACATCCCTAACATATTGCTGGCTTTCATTGTTGTCACAGCCTGATGGGAAGCTTAAATATGATTTTGCCTGATTCTGTGCATGCTGGTGTCTTTGACAAATATTTCGGTGGCAGTTGTTGTGGTCCTTGTAGTTGCAGTGGACTTTTGAGGTGATTGGTATTCCTTCAGAGCTCAGCATGGTATCACATTAAACCCCTCAGCCCTTGCCTAAAGAACTGCATGGAGTTACTTCCAGGTGCAAATTCTAGTTAGCTGCCAAACTTCATAGGTATATGAACCTTTAATGTTAGACTACATGTCATATGTATTGCTGCCTAGTAACTCTGTATAGTCAGCCTGCAAATTTGCAGAACCTGGGAGATGAGACCACCATGACTTACCTGTATTTTAGCTATCACTGTCAAATTCAGAATGTACCTTTCATCAAATGGGGCTTTGTAAAAAGCAGTCAAACGGTGTATGAAATTTTGTGGATTGTGCTGCTTTCATATGCTGCTTTACTACCGCAGCACTTACTGCCCTGTTGAAATGTACAATAGGCTGAGGCAAGTTTAGGCTGTATGGAACGCCGCAACAGTGAGTAGCAGGTCTCTTGTGAAACATAAGGGTGCAAATCAGTAAAATTTCATTGTAATAAAATACATTAGGGGTCCCCAACATTGGGCCCATTAACACCTTTCCTGGTACCTGTCAAGTGGAAAGTGGGCATGGCCAGATTGGACTTTTTGCCCAGCAGGGTTTCTTATTGGCCACTGGAGATCTGATTGGCTTTTCAGATTTTTAAAAAAATGTTGATTTGGGAACAGCTACTTCTACAGCCCAAGGATCTTCATTGTGTGATTGAAGGCTCAGAGTAGGCACCTGTGGAATGCATTATTCTGTAGAATATACATTTTTCATTTCTGTGCAGTTTTTACCTGAAATTAATTAGACATTTGTCAACATGGAAAATACATGACAAACTTTGAAAGAGCAGTATCAGATTGAAATATTCTTGATTAGTAAACAGAATTAATATACATATTAAGTTGCTGTCTTAAGCACTCTTTGCAAACACTTTTAAATCTCTGTTTATAGTGATCGGGAGCAGAGAGAACGAGAAGAAGCTCTTCATGATTTTCGTTCTGGAAAATGTCCTGTTCTTGTTGCAACATCAGTGGCAGCAAGAGGTCTGGATATTGAGAATGTTCATCATGTTATAAATGTCGATCTTCCTTCCACAATAGATGAATATGTTCACAGGATTGGGCGAACTGGACGCTGTGGTAACATAGGCAAAGCAATTTCTTTCTTTGATCCTCATACTGACAGCAGTATTGCACAGCCCCTAATCAAAGTGCTTGTGGATGTAAGTTATTTTGTTCCTACATTTTCTGTTCTTAAATGGAGATTATCAGAATGAATAATGTATAACATAATGGATTTTTTTCTGTTACAGGCTCAACAGGAAGTCCCATCATGGCTAGAAGAAATAGCATGCGGCTCCTGTCCAGTTGGATTTAGCAATACAAGGGGAAATACATTTGCGTCTGTTGATTCTAGAAAGGTAAATTTTAAATAGAATTACTCATGATACACAAATTTTGCATGTTGGCCTAGGTATTAAAACATGTTCTGAAGCTTACTAGGGAGAATCCAGGGATCAGTTCAGTTCTCTTTTTTCCTGTTTTGCAGTAATTGCTATTAAACATACTGCTGCTTATACTTACTGTGTGGCAGATGCTGTGGTGTCTAGAACATGACTTGTCACTCTCCCAAGAGTTTCTGGTTATGGTATGGATTTTCTGCATATAAGCAGTAATTCACATGGTAAATTTCTCCCTACATTGCTGCTATTCGCCGCAGTCTGTGTAAAGGTCACTTGTGTATCGGATTATAATAGTCTTTGTACTGAGAACTAAGCAACTAGAAATGACAGCGATAAAAGGGTTCTTGATCTAGTTGGGTTCAAGTGTTGAATGACATTTTCAGAGGTGTCATGTATATGACTACTGTATTGCAAAAAATAAGTTACCCACTTCTGGGAAGCCAGTGAATCAAACAGTAAACAGTCTGATAACCATGAAAATAGTCCTGTGATAGATTTCACTATAGAACATAGCTTTCTGTATCATAACTGAATATTTGCTTAACTCTAGTTTACACAGGGTTTCCATAGCAAAGAAGATCAGCACAGTAGAGGATTTGTTGCATCAAATACAAGTGCGGCCAATGAGTTGTGGGATTGACTACCTACAGTGTTGGAACAGAGTTCTTAATTTATCATGGTAAATTTTCCAAGCACAGTAGTTATGCAACAAGCTGTCTGAATCCTAAACACATTTATTAAGTCCCATTTATTTCAGTGGCACTTACTTCCAACTAAAGTATGTATAAGGTTGTGGTCTTGAAATGTTGAAGAAATTGTTGATATTATTGTCCACCAATGTTCAGGAAGGTGGATGGGCTTATACATACAAGGAGATTGTTTTGTTTTGACTTTAAAATGTTTTATTTGTTGGTATGCTTAATAGTTGGTGAATTAACAGAAATTTGCTGTAAAAAGTTGTTAATGATTGTAAAAATACTTAATAAACATTTGGGATCATATCTGATGCTGTGAATTGTATAGATCTTAACCTAGTCCTGACTTGTGGTTTGTTCAAACTTATGTTAGTAAGTATCAGCATACTTTGGGTTGTAGATGTCTTATCTAAATTTGCAGTGTTTGATTTCAGAACAATATAGGTTCTCCTTCTTTGATAGATTTACTTAAATCTATCATTCTGTAGCACGCTTAGCAAGGAAAGCTACTGTATTAAAGCAGTTTTTCTTTTTGTGGTCTCTGTGCATCACACATGGGGTTTCAAGCGTGTATGCACAGAGCCTTAGAACCTATAAAAGTTTTAAAACTTTGCGTGCGAGCCTCCCCATGCACAATGACTGCTCATTGCAAGCACCTGGTGTGGGCAGGGCCACACTTACCCATCAGTTCTTCCTTAACTGCTGCTGCAGCAGCTGCCTCTAGGAGACCTTCTCATTCTCACTTTCTTCAAGCTATCTATTTTAAATGCTATGAAAGAAAGGAGCAAAGAAGAAAATTACTTCAATGTGGGCTGCATCTCTATAACATTTAAAAATTGTTCTACCTGCAAGAGAAGAATCCCCCCCACAGATGGACATAGCCTTTCTTGTTAATGTTTAGGAGGAGGAGCATAAAATGGACTCCTGCCAGCACAATCTGTTAAGAGGCAACAGATTCATCAAGACATCACCTCATGTAACTTTGACAACAGATGTGTCTCTTTGGGGATGGGGAGCACATTACCAGGGATATTTGATGAGCCAGGCTTGGACTCACAGTGAGGCTGCACTACGCATTAACATATTGGAGCTTCTTGCTATAAAGATGATTCAGGCCTTTTCTCCCATCATCAGGGGCAAGTCAGTTCAGATGGCGATGGACGATATCTCATTGATGTATTATATTAGCAAACGTGGAAGAAGTTACTTGCCTATTTTGTGCACTGTAGCATGCAAACTGTGGGAACAGTGCATGCAGTACAATGTCCATAATGCAGCACTTCATGTCCTGGGGAAGCAGAACACATTAGCAGATGCATTAAGCAGGCAGGTATGTAGCCCATAAATGGTCCATAGACAGCAGGGTCCAGAAACAATGGGGAATTTCAGACAGGTGCTTTCTCCCGGTAGGGAACCGATTCTCAACCGGGTGCTGGTCTGTCATTTCAGACAGAACCCGGTTGAGAATCGGTTCCCTACCGGGATCTGACTGCCATTTCACACTCAAAAGTCTCTGTTCCGTATAGGAACCGGGAGGGAAGCGATTTACCTGTCAACCGCTTCCGAGGAGTCTCCCGTTCCCTCTCCCGGTTCCGATACGGTTCTTTCCTGCCTTTTTTCGGCCGCGCGGGCTTTTTTTTTTGAACGTTCGGCTTATATTGATATATCGATATAACGCTATAGCGATCCCATTGGAATACATTGGAATACTGGTATATCGATATATCGCTATAAGACGGACTTTTTTAAAAAAAAAAAAACCGTGGGGAAACAAAGCGGTGCGTGTGTGAAACGCCGAACCACTTGTGAATCGGCTCCTTTCTGGTAGGGGCAAGCCGTGTGTGAAACGGCAGCCCTGTACCGGTTCATCTGGAAACGGAAGACTCCCGGCTTGAAACCGGGAGAAGATAGGTAATGTGAAATTCCCCAATGATTTACTCTGGGGAACGCCAACAGTAGGTGTGTTTGCTTTGCTGGTTAATTACAAATGCCTTGTGCATTATATGAGAGGGAGTGGGGAGAGGTTCAAAAGAGGATGCATTCACAGTGAAGCAGACAGGAGAGTTGTTTTACATGTTCCTACCTCTGGCCATGATGTTGAAAGTGCTTCACAAAAATAAGGGTAGATAGGACCAATGCTCCCTCTAAGCTGTGGAGTCTTGTGAGCAAAAAATTCTACTTGATGAGCTACTGGCATTAAAGTTGTGAGTGAGCGATTTGGCTGCTGCATAATTTAGTCTGCTCTGGAGCCATCCTTCCTGTGCTAAGACAAAAATGTGTGAGCTGGAGGCTAAAAAACTGAGCTAGCTCACACTAACTCAGCTTAGAGGGAACACTGGATAGGACCAATTTCATTCAAATGGCACCATTCTGGTCAAGTTGTGTGTGGTTTCTGACTCTACTACTCATTGTGAGAGGTTGGTATCTGCCTTTTATGAGAAACAGGAATTCACTGTCTCAAGAGGGAGTAACAGTATTGTACCCAGGTATGTCCAAACTGCATCTGGCAGCAGCACCAGGAATAATCAGCTTTTTGGCCAGATCAGATGTGGAAAGTTTGGATAATGCAAGAAAGCCACGGACCAGGAAATTGTATGATAAAGTGACTTTGAGACCAGACCTAACTTTTTTGGCCTAAAGTAGTGTCATAAATAATTTTACATGTCACAGGATATAGTATTCCCAGTTTTTTCCCTGCAAACCAGCAACAAATGCAGAGTTGAGGGCTCACAGTGAGTAGCTGTTGTGGTTTGGGAGGCTTTTCTACATTCTGAGGCTGTGCATATGCACACTTGAGATCCCATATCCGACCGCACAGGGACCACTCAAAGAACTTCAGATACAGGTAAGCAACTGGTCGTCCCCCCCCCCCCAATTGCCTCATCTCAGTGACTGCTGTTGCAGTAACTTGAATGTGTGTAGCAAGCTTTAATGATGTTTGTCCCTTAGTTAACTGGGTGCTTTAATTGTAATGATCATAATTGGGTTGGGGGAATAGTGATGCAAAGCTGGAGTCTCTTAACTTGCAGGGCTATGAGAGTTGCACATTAAAGCAACTGCAGATGATAGTCAAATGTACAGATGTAAAACTTCCAGAAATTTTGAAGCCACCAAAAAAGATGTATGTTTTCTATGAGAAATCACAAGTTTACTCGTACTTGAAGAAGAGTTGCAAACTGCTGGGGCTATGCTGTGGATAGTATACACATTTAATTTTTCCCATCTGAGAGGAAGGGAAAATAAAAGCCGAAGACAAAAATAAAATTCTGTAGTAAACAAAAACGGGGTGTTGTTTTTTTTTGGAGAGTTATCTCATCGTCACAGTAGGCAGGGCTGCCAGCATGCTTGGCTAAACTTTATAATGTTGAACATACTGAAGTCTGTTAATGTGTTGAACACAATATAGTGTATTGATTGTTGCGAACATTATTTACATTTATAATGAAAAATTCTTGAAAACGTATATGTCTATAGTACACTTTTTTCAGAACTCCAAATATTCCAGTTTTTTCATTGGAAAAAACTAAAAAGTTGTCATGTTTTTGATGCTGTATACTTGCTGTGAATGAAATGCTTTGTAAGAGAAAGTAATTCCTCACTCAAAGAGAGAATATTTCATTGGAGGGTTTTTCTGTGTTCCTCCAGTTTTTCATTGAAAAATAGAACTTCCGGGTGGGGAACGGGGAAGAACTTTTTTCCATGTTTTTTTTCTTGGCCTTCACTTTTCCGGTGAAATGCAGCAAGTGCAGCAAACTAGCAATGCAGCAAACTAGCAGCTAGTTTCACTGTGTTGCTGCTTTTGCATATTGGCCAGAAATGTTTCTGTATGGCCTGTTGATCAGTAATATTAGCTTTAAATTAAGGGCTTAGACGTAACTAAGTGATTTTATGGGAATCTCTTACTGGCTTTTTTTGCAGGCCACACAATGGCTCACATACAAAAAATATTCATTTGAGGGATTTTCTTCTGTCCTCCTGCTCATTCTCCAGTTTAGTTTTTTTTTTCTATTTCTCCAAGTACTTGACGTGTTTCGTCCAAGACCTCTCTGCCATAGCCCTTGACAAGCACATATCACCATCTCCTAATGCTCTCAGGGTTTTCAGCCAGTTCTTGTCATCAATGTTGATTTGGTTCACACTGCTTTAGCTTTTTATATATATATAATATAATATACAGCCCAACAAATTACACACTAACTAAAATTACAGCTACACAACGACCATATATCATAATTATTGTTAAGTCAAAGTTTTTCTCTTCACGTTAAGCATAAAAACTTATTCTGTTTTACTATGCATAAAGTTAAAGCGATTAACAATGCAAGAATTTGTAATGTAATATAAACATTTTTTCTTAGATTTAAGCTATTTTTTGCCTTTTTTCTGAATTTCTTCTTGCTTTTATAGTCCCGAGGTGGTTTGGGTGCTGCTGCTCCGAGTTCTGATTCGAATTCAACTTCTGACTTGCCATCTGTGGATGTTTCATGACTTCCCAAGCCCTGGGAGCTATCCACTTCTCCTTCTTCCTCTGTTCTTTTTGTCTTTTTCTGAATCTTGCTGTCTTTCAAAAAACTGCTTTGCTTTAATAAGAGTCAATCTTTTCTTTTTTGCCTTTAAAGTTGAACATCAAGCCTTCAGGTAATATCCATCTGTAGGTGATGGACGTATCCTGTAGATAAGTGGTTAAGTTCTTGGATAATTTTCTCTTCTTCCTTATCTCAAATGGAATGTCTATTACAATTCTGATCTCTTCTTTGATTTTCAGTGTCGTCCTGGATGTTGCTTTCAGTATTGTATCTCTTATGGATCTTTTAGAGAATCTGACATATATTTCACCAGGCAGGTTTTTTTTCTTAATAAATTCTGAATATGTCCAATAGGCCATATCCATTTTGCTTTGTAGTACTTCCGCCTTGATACCTGTCACTGGTGCAAGCACTTCGCTAAGGATTTCTTTTAGATTCTCAGGTTTGTTTTCTGGAACACCCTGAAATCTCAGCACATATGAAGTTTTTTCCATTTGTAGCTGCCGAAGTTGAGTTTTATATGAAGATCTTTCTTTTTCCACAAATTCCAGTCTTTGATCAATTGCTTTTGTCTTGTTTGCCACTTCTGTTCTTTTATTAGACTCTTT